ATTTAAGTATTTTTAGAATGCAAAACAAAATTAAAAAATATAAATCATAAAATATAAAATAAAAAAAAAAATTCATGCGAAAAAGTTCAACAAAAATTACTTCAGAACAAGTGCAAAAATAAAGGTAAAAAAAATCACTGCAGAAAAAAGTGTCACTGGGAAAATCAGGAAAAATAATAAATTAAAATATAAAGATCAAAAAAAAATAAAACTGATTGAAACACTTTAACCTTAATTGTAAATTGAAAAACATTTCTCAAGCAGAGTAAAGAAAACACTTTATTTAAAAAAGTAATTAAAAATGTATCAAGAGTAAATTTGTTAAAGAATTAAAAAAATAAAAAAACAGGAAAAAAACAGGGAATAAAACACTTACAGTGGGGGGCCACAACAGTATTAGTTTTATTCTTCAACAAAATCCTCTGTGACTGTACAAAAAATCTTGTGTGCTGATCGACAAAAATTTGCGGGCCCCAAAAAAAAATGGTACACAGTCTGCAAAAAAAAATTAGAGGAATGAGACATGCTGGCATACGAAAAAAAGCACAATGAAAAAAAGGGAAAAATTTAGTTACTGGGGTGAATATCACTGCAGAAATACAATGCTACGGAGAATACAACGCTGAAAGAATCAATAAAAAAAAAAGAATCATTCACCGGGGGCTGACTGGACCTAACAATAAACTTACTAGAGACAGGAGTGCATAAAGAAAAAACAAAAAATAAAAAATATAAGATAAGTAAAAACCCTAAAAAAAATTTGTAAAAAAAATGAGTCAAAAAAAATACGGTTTACACTGAAAACAAAAGGTTTTTAGAGTAACAAGCAATTTAATAAAGTTCCCAGAAAAAGTTTTTAAATGCAAAAAAAAATGTCCAGTTTTTTATCATGGAGTTGGAGATAGAGGGGGGTGACGAGTGATGAGGAAAAGGTTAGGGTGTCCAGGCGGTGAGGGCTGCGTCCCCTACATCAGTTTGAAAAAAAGTGCTTTCTGGTGAACCACAAAGGCTTTATCGTTGGCACAGAAAATTCTTGCCAAATTATTGAGCCAAAAACCGACTGGACCCGGTACAAGGGTTTTCAAACAACCAAGGTAGATGGGTGGTGGCGGTGGTGGTGGGAGAATGGGGGTGGGAGAGGGTTTTTGGACTCCCTTGGGGTACTGCTGCGCACCCCCCCCTACCCACAATCTTGATAAACCCCCCCCCCCAGGAATGGTAAAAAACCATTCTTAAACCAACGGGGCCCAAACATTAGACAATACCAAAAAAGGAACTTGGCTTATTCTTACTGCGTGGCTTATTCTCTCTCTCAGCGGGGAGAAGCTGGGTTGGTGACTGGCTTTTCACCCGAGAAAGGTGATGGAAAGACGGTAACATGCACAAAACACGGAGGAGCAGTTGGATGAAGGAGACAGGTGGATGATAGGGATGGCTTTACTTCCCCAGGGCTTACTGGGTGGCTTTTTCAAAAATCGGGCAACCCCTCGTGTTGAACCCAAATTAGCACACGAAATAAGCCAGGAAGCTTGAAATGGCTTTCAACAGGCTTGCGGATGGTTTTGGGGGAGTAGGCTGCTGGGGTCTGGAGGGGCGCGGGGGGTATTAGCTGGTGGCTGGAGGTTACCTTTGCCCTGGCGCACTACGCAAACAGCCTTCTAAAAGCCTTGAATTACCCTTAAAAACGTAAAACCACGCCCAACCCCCTGTAACCATTTTTCATGTGGGATTCGATACGTGGATTGGTAAGAAATCCACGTAGGCTTTATTTCGTTTTAATTTCTGTTTTGTGGGAGAGCCCTTGCCAGCCGTCCAAACTCCTTGGTTACCTCGTAATATGACTAGCCCGGTGCGTACCATGTGAGGGGCCTTTGAAACTGCTGAGGTCAGCACAATATGAATTCAGGGAGTGATAGGCAGAGAGGGGGGGTCGTTGAGTCAACGGAGGTTACTGGTAACTGGTTTAAATATGAGATGGTAAATGGGTTTTATAGGAACAGTGCTGCTCACACAGGGTCAGTGTGTTCACACTGGGCACGTACTTTTACACTGGGTACAGTGCTGCTACACTGGGTACAGTGCTGCTCACCTGGGGCGGGTATTCACATTAGGGACTTTTCTGTTCACATGGGAAAAGTGCTGTTCAATTGGGTACAGTGTGTTCACACGGTAAGTGTGCTCAACGGGGACAATGCTGTTTTACACTGGTACTGCTGTTTTACTGGGTACAGTGCTGTTACATGGATACGTGTGTTCCACTGGGTCAGGCTGCTCACATGGGTTCAGTGTGTTCACACTGGGGACAGTGCTTTCACATGGGTACAATGCTGTCACATGGGTACAGTTGTTTAGACTGGGTCCAGTGCGTCCACTGGGTTCAGTGCTGTTCACACTGGGTACAGTGTGTTCAACCCGGGTTTCGGTTGCTCCCCGGGTACAGTGCTGCTCCACGGGTCAGTGCTCCCACTGGGTTTGGTGTTCCCCACTGGGGACATGTTGCTCAACTGGGTACAGTTTGCTACACTGGGGACAGTTCGCTCAACTGGGTACGGCTGTTCACCTGGGTACAGTGTTGTCACACTGGGGACAGTGCTGTTCACCTGGGTACAGTGTGCTCACCTTGGGTTCAGTGTGCCACCTAGGTTTCGTGCTGTTCAATGGTTTCAGTGCTCTCACACTGGGTTCAGTTTCTGTTACACTGGGTACGTGCTGTTTACACGGGGGACGTGTTTCTCACACTGGGTACAGTGGCTCACATGGGTACAGTTTCTGTTCACCTGGGTAAGTGTGCTCCATGGGTTCATTTTGTTCACACTGGGTACGTGCTGTTCCACTGGGTACAGTGTTTCTCAATGGGTCGTGTTGTCACACTGGGGCAGTGTTGCTCAACTGGGTGCAGGTTTTCCCCACTGGGTACAGTGTTGCTCACACGGGTACATGCTGCTCACTGGGTACAGTGTTGCTCTCACTGGGTTGCAGTGTGCTACACTGGGTACGTGCTGCTCACACTGGGTACGTGTGCTCACACTGAGTACAGTTTCTACACTGGGTTTCAGTGCTGCTCACAGGGTAAGTGCGTACATAGGTACAGTGTGTCACACTGGGTAAATGTGCTCCACTGGGTTTTGGCGCTCACATGGGTACATTTCTGCTCACATGGGTACAGTGCGTCACACTGGGTACGTGTGCTCACACTGGGTACAGTGCTGTCAATGGGTACAGTGTGTCAAATGGGTACAGTGCTGTTCACCTGGGTACAGTGGCCCCATGGGTGCAGTGCTGTCACACTGGGTACAGTGTGTTCAAAAGGATCAGTGCTGTTCACACGGGTACAGTGTGCCACACTGGTACGGCTGTTCACATGGGTCATGCGCTCCACTGGGTACGGGTTTGCTTCATGGGTCAGTGCTGCTCACCTGGGTACAGTGCTGTTTACCTGGGTACGTCTGCTCACATGGGTTTTCAGTTCTGTCTCATGGTACAGTGCTGTCACAGGGGGAAAATGCTGTACAGGGTACAGTGCTGTCCATGGGACAGTGCTGTTTACAGGTTTCGTGGTTCAATGGGTACGGTGCTCCATGGGACGTTTTGTTAAAAGGAAGTCTGCTCACACGGGTACAGTGCTGCTCCCTAGGGGACAGGCGCTCACACTGGGTCATGTTGCCCACCTGCATAAAAAGATTAGTACTGTAATTGGCGTGCACAACAAAGACTGACAAATGAAGTTTGCGGACACCGGGAACTTCCCATGACTGTGACAAACAAAAGGTGTGTAGTTCATGAATCAATTATGCGTTTTTTAATCAAAGAAAATAAAAAAGATGCCTTAATTATAAAATAAAACACTTTTTAAAAAATAATTAAAAAAAAAATTAAAAAATTTGGTTATCATAGATCGCCCAAAATGAGTGTATTGAGTTTTGCAATAAGGGTGAGAGATTTTTGATTATATAAAAGAGGACAAATAGATACGTCCTGGCATATCCTTGATCAGGTCTTTTTTAGTAAAGGAAAATTTTTTTTGTCTCCGTATTACAGGAAACTACATTAATGTGCTGGAGAACAAAATAGAAAATTTTCATTGTTAATTCTCTTTATCTAATTGTTCTATTTTTAGTGGTTAAAAAATATTGTACATTAGAAGGTGTAGCAAAATGGATACGAGTGAAATTTACCGTCTAAGTATCAGTAAAAGGGGTATGAAAGAAAGTGAAGATATTTAATGAAAAATGCTCGGAGAGGTGATTTCAAATTTGCGAATTAAGATTTATTAAGAAGTAGTCAGGGGACTGGTTTAATGTTTTTTTTTTCCTTTGAAAATTTTTTTACACTTGTGTTTTAAAAGTTTATACAAACCCTTAAATTGAAATTCTGTATTGTTTTATTCACCCAGATTTTTTCTTAAATACTTAGGTTAAAAGCAAAAATTTTCATGTGGGCACAGTTTTTTTCGATGATCTTTTGGAATTAAAATGGTCATTAATGATCATTATAAAGGGGTTATAATTTTTTTCATAATGGGTGGTATGTGAAGATTGAAGATCATCTCAAGGACCCAGGGAAATTTTAAATCCTTCGACTTGACTCACGAAATCGAAAAAGGACACGATTGCAAACAAACATTCCTCGGGCGGGGTTAAAACCCGCGATCAGAGAATCTCAAAACTCCAGACCGTCGCGTTAGCCACTGGGCCACCTAGCCACAATAAGATTCATCCTACTAGATATAATTATACACCATAGGAAGGTTAGCATAGGCGCCACTGTGACCACAAATTCAAGTTTTTAAGTCACTTCGACTTTTTTGGGTTATTCTAGGTTCTCTACACATACGCTGCTACGTATGATAATCTATGTAACTGTATTTGTGTATACATGAATAAACTTACTAACAAGGTCATTATATAGTTAAGAACTACGTCCAGTAATTTTCACTGATGAATAAGATAACGACTGATGTTTATGGGTGTCAGTACTAACCATGAGGTTTCTTCCGGCAGGCTGAAGAACTAAACAGCATCGTGGGGCACGCCTTCAGGCTCGCCTACGCTGCTCATCTGCAGAAGTCAGGCGCCACCATCCGCGATGTGATCCCCACCCACACCCACGCCCACGGCAATACCGCCCCACACCCCCACACACTAGCTCACCACCACACCCACGCCCACTCACACACCCACTCTCACACGCCTTCGCCCTCTGCTACCCCAGCACATGCCCACACGCATCCACACCCGCGAGTCTGTGACCACCATTGCTTCACATCCCAGCAGGTATGTGGCAGTTACCTCAGTACCACGTCTTCTGCTGTATAAATTGACTTCAATTGGAAAAGTTCAATATATCATAATTTAAAAATTTCTGAAGTATAAAACAATAAAAATGTATAAAAGGTCCCATTGATACACATTAAACACATCTAACTTTTATTTTTATCGAAATGAAAACCCGAGTATACTGAGACCAGCAGTGCAGGTACACCTCCACCGATATATATATATATATATATATATATATATATATATATATATATATATATATATATATATATATATATATATATATATATAATATATATATATATATATATTTTTTTTTTTTTTTCAACAAGTCGGCCGTCTCCCACCGAGGCAGGGTGACCCAAAAAAAGAAAGAAAATCCCCAAAAAGAAAATACTTTCATCATCATTCAACACTTTCACCACACTCGCACATTATCACTGTTTTTGCAGAGGTGCTCAGAATACAACAGTCTAGAAGCATACACACATAAAGATACACAACATATCCCTCCAAACTGCCAATATCCCAAACCCCTCCTTTAAAGTGCAGGCATTGTACTTCCCATTTCCAGGACTCAAGTCCGACTATATGAAAATAACCGGTTTCCCTGAATCCCTTCACTAAATATTACCCTGCTCACACTCCAACAGATCGTCAGGTCCCAAGTACCATTCGTCTCCATTCACTCCTATCTAACACGCTCACGCACGCTTGCTGGAAGTCCAAGCCCCTTACCCACAAAACCTCCTTTACCCCCTCTCTCCAACCCTTTCGAGGACGACCCCTACCCCTCCTTCCTTCCCCTATAGATTTACATGCTTTCCATGTCATTCTACTTTGATCCATTCTCTCTAAATGACCAAACCACCTCAACAACCCCTCTTCTGCCCTCTGACTAATGCTTTTATTAACTCCACACCTTCTCCTAATTTCCACACTCCGAATTTTCTGCATAATATTTACACCACACATTGCCCTTAGACAGGACATCTCCACTGCCTCCAACCGCCTCCTCGCTGCAGCATTTACCACCCAAGCTTCACACCCATATAACAGTGTTACTACTTACTTTTCATACATTCCCTTCTTTGCCTCCATAGATAACGTTTTTTTGTCTCCACATATACCTCAACGCCACACTGGCCTTTTTTCCTTCATCAATTCTATGATTAACCTCATCCTTCATAAATCCATCCACTGACACATCAACTCCCAAATATCTGAAAACATTCACTTCTTCCATACTCCTCCCCAATTTGATATCCAATTTTTCTTTATCTAAATCATTTGATACTCTCATCATCTTACTCTTTTCTATGTTCACTTTCAACTTTCTACCTTTACACACGCTCCCAAACTCGTCCACTAACCTTTGTAATTTTTCTTTAGAATCTCCCATAAGCACAGTATCATCAGCAAAAAGTAAATGTGTCAATTCCCATTTTGTATTTGATTCCCCATAATTTAATCCCACCCCTCTCCCGAACACCCTAGCATTTACTTCTTTTACAACCCCATCTATAAATATATTAAACAACCATGGTGACATTACACATCCCTGTCTAAGACCTACTTTTACCGGGAAGTATTCTCCCTCTCTTCTACACACCCTAACCTGAGCCTCACTATACTCATAAAAAATCTCTTTACAGCATTTAGTAACTTACCACTTATTTCACATACTTGCGACATCTGCCACATTGCTCCCCTTTTCACTCTATCATATGCCTTTTCTTAATCCATAAATGCAATAAAAACTTCCCTACCTTTATCTAAATACTGTTCACATATATGCTTCAATGTAAACACTTGATCTACACATCCCCTACCCACTCTAAAACCTCCTTGCTCATCCGCAATCCTACATTCTGTCTTACCTCTAATTCTTTCAGTAATAACCCTACCGTACACTTTTCCTGGCATACTCAGTAAACTTATTCCTCTATATTTTTTACAATCTCTTTTTTCCCCCTTCCCTTTATATAAAGGGACTATACATGCTCTCCGCCAATCCCTAGGTACCTTCTCCTCTTTCATACATTTATTAAACAAAAATACCAGCCACTCCAACACTATATCGCCCTCTGCTTTTAACATTTCTGTCATGATCCCGTCAGTTCCAGCTGCTTTATCCCCTTTCATTCTACATAATGCCTCACGCACCTCCCCCACACTCACATCCTGCTCTTCTTCACTCCTAAGAGATGGTATACCTCCCTGGCCAGTGCATGAACTTACCGCCTCCCTTTCTTCGTCGACATTTAAAAGTTTCTCAGAATATTCTCGCCATCTACCCAATACCTCCATCTCCCCATCTACTAACTCCCCTACTCTGTTTTTAACTGACAAATCCATTCGTTCCCTAGGCTTTCTTAACTTGTTTAACTCACTCCAATTTTTTTTCTTATTTTTATTAAAATTTCTTGACAGTGCCTCTCCCACTTTATCATCTGCTCTCCTTTTGCACTCTCTCACCACTCTCTTCACCTTTCTTTTACTCTCCATATTCTCTACTCTTCTTATAACACTTCTGCTTTGTAAAAACCTCTCATAAGCTACCTTTTTCTCTTTTATCACACCCTTTACTTCATCATTCCACCAATCACTCCTCTTTCCTCCTGCCCCCACCCTCCTATAACCACAAACTTCTGCCCCACATTCTAATAATGCATTTTTAAAACTATTCCAACCCTCTTCAACCCCCTTCACCACTACTCATACTTGCACCAGCCCACCTTTCTGCCAATAGTTGCTTGTATCTCACCCGAACTTCCTCCTCCCTTAGTTTATCCACTTTCACCTCTCTCTTACTTGCTGTTGCCATTTTCCTTTTGTCCCATCTACCTTTTACTCTAACTGTAGCTACAACTAAATAATGATCCGATATATCAGTTGCCCCTCTATAAACGTGTACATCCTGGAGCCTACCCATCAACCTTTTATCCACCAATACATAATCTAACAAACTACTTTCATTACATGCTATATCATACCTTGTATATTTATTTATCCTCTTTTTTCATAAAATATGTATTACTTATTACTAAACCTCTTTCTACACATAGCTCAATTAAAGGCTCCCCATTTTCATTTACCCCTGGCACCCCAAATTTACCTACTACTCCCTCCACAACATTTTTACCCACTTTAGCATTGAAATCCCCAACCACAAGTACTCTCACACTTGGTTCAAAACTAACCACACATTCACTCAACATTTCCCAAATCTCTCTCTCTCCTCTACACTTCTCTCTTCTCCAGGTGCATATACGCTTACTATAACCCACTTTTCACATCCAACCTTTATTTCACTCCACATAATCCTTGAATTAATACATTTATAGTCCCTCTTTTCCTGCCATAGGTTATCCTTCAACAGTATTGCTACTCCTATATATATATATATATATATATATATATATATATATATATATATATATATATATATATATATATATATATATATATATATATATGCATGCATGCAAGACAAGCCACGGGGGGTGGAAATCTTTAGCTCAATACTTTCACATTTGTCAGTGCGTCATCAGGAGCTATGCAGTGTTGCAAGGGAACAACTGATGGAGTGAGGGAAAGTTTTCTCAGAGAAATGCAGTGCGGTTTGGTCGCCTACCGCAGCCTCTCTCGAGACTGATCAGTCCATCAGTCTTGAAAAGAACGATGGACTGATTACATCGACTCAAGGCTGAGGGACTGATTACCTCAAACTCCTCCTGTTCTTCACCATTCTCCTTTGTATGGAGTGATGAAGCCACTGTGTGGCGAAACGTTTCCTCATTAAAGATACCCAAGTGTTGCACATGTGTCCAATTTATTAATGAATATATTGATGATCCACCTTACGAATAGTGGGAGGCTGTTGAATAGTGTTGGACCCAGTACACTTATTGTCTCTCTCATTGTGCTCATGGCACCCCTTCTTTTTTAGCGCTGGCATTTGGCACCGTCTGCCGAACTTCTTGCTTGCATAGGGAGTGATTTCTGTGTGCAGATTTGGGACCAAATCTTCAAGGATTTTCCATATGTAAATTATGATGTATCTTTCTCACTTAAAGTTTGCCTAGGCATTGAAAGAGAAGTCGAAAAGGACACTGAGGTTCTCTGTAATATGTGAGACAGATTATCAAATGTTGTTGGAATGTCAGTAGGACCTGACAGTTTTTGCAGAGTGGTGCTGACATGCTTCCACGAGTGAGCCGCTAAATCTTGTGTGACCAATTCTTAATCGAGGGAGTGCGGTTTCCAGCAACCAACAGTGGTGAAGATAAGATAGTTAACGTCCATATTGAGCTTGATTAAAAACAGCGTGTTATTCACTAAACCCATTGGTGCTGCCAGTAGTTTCACAAGTATCAAGTTAGCAATGGAAATTTTCTTGAAACAGAACCTTGAAACAGAACTTTCAAACTCTGCTGAGTGTGCAGAGTCTGAAAATTTATTGTTTGAGTACCAAATAGCCAGAAACCCAGAAGATTACTTACTTGTGTCTCCTGAAAATGCAGTGATAGCCAGTACTGAATTCAAGGGAAGAAAGATTGTGATGATTTGAAGGTCTGCGTCACTAACAGACTATATTTACGCTGAGACTACAACAGGTGGTGAAGTGGACAAGGTGGCAGCGAGAAGTTTGTTGAAAAAACTTGAGACCCTTTAAACTCACTGAGTACATTTAGTGTACTTACTGCCCTTCAACTATTCAGTGGTGTGTATCATACACTTGAGAAAAGCCATGATTCATAGCTTCTTCCAAAGCAGTGGAGTTCTCTGATTCTACAAGAGTAAGTCTAACCCCATTAATCACAGCCAATATACGATGCAACTGTGTCGGCACTATGCTGCGTTTGTAAATGTGGACGAACAGGTTAAACAGCTGGAACTTGTCAATAAGACCATCAAAAGAGGCGTCATTATCTCCTCAATAAACTCATATTTCTTACCCAGACCTGCAAATACTTTCACCCCAAAAATGT